TTTGTTGGAGCTATAGATGACTTCCACAAGGATGTCTGTTATAATGCTTCTGTCATTTTTAAGAGAATATTCAGCCCTTTCTTCGGGATCCTAGTGGTTTTGACATCAAGAGGAAGCGAGGACAAATTCACCACTTTATCCCAATAGTCGAATTGCTCATTAGGTGATGTCACCTCGGAAATCACATCAACTGGGCGCTCTGACTTTAACTTATGATGTCTTATAATCTGATACCTAGGCAATTTTTTGTCATGCCTCTTTGTCATTGAGTCCAAGGTACAACATGATTTCTCAACGACCATACTCCGGATTTTTGAAAATCTTCCGGAGTTAGAATCCTGATCTTATCACGCCAGTGCGTTGACTTTATATCTATAAACTTAACTAGCATATTCCTCCCCGCATCATAAGTTTATTATAACTTAAGAATGGAGTACTAGTGAAGAATCTTATTTACCTTGTCCAAGTAGTAATGTCTTCTAAGGTGACAGAATCCATCAGTGATACCATGACGTGTACAGCAGCTTAAAAATGTGTGATGGCCTAATTGACTTACAATTGTCTTCTTTTTTCAGCTGTATTCATTGCATTATCTGGAAATCTTATTACCATAGCTTAATCCTAGATTTGAAGACCAAGCTCTTTCGGCCTCTGCTTATAAGTGGTGTAATTTTATTCTTGCAACTTTCTCGTGTTGTCAGGGGGACCTAGTTTGATTCACTTTGCTTGAAATTCTTTGCTATAGTACATATGGAAATTCCCATCTTTGGAAAAGGGACTTGGTATATTTCCAGACGTTTCGCCGGCATCTTAGTCAACATCGTCAATACATTTTTCCATTTTAAGCATCAGGCTATAACCTGTCAGAGACAAGTGGAGTCAAACTAAGTAATGTTGTCGATTTTAATAGAAAATAAAACTTCGTTTTATAGACACTCCCGCCCCAAAACGTAATATAGCAAAGGCCTGGCCTTCCCTGAAAGTCACTTCTACCCCGTGAGCCAGAGGTATTTGTGGCAGTGATGAATTGGCTAACGAGTTGAGACCATAAACTGCATTACCAGAGTTCGGCTCATGCTGGAGGTGCTAATACGACTCAGGCGAAGTCGAAACTACAGTCAGCTCTAGATTAAGATACTCTTTGGGAAGTAAGACTATGTTAACTTCAATGGAAACATGAAGTCTATTCGAATAATTGAGGGAAAATTCAAGTACCGATCCATCACCTCAAATGAAATGGGATGAATGTATATTTCTGACGTATGCTTTCTCGCTCTGACCATGTCTATCACAATGGGACAAACGAAATCTCAGCATAGGTTCATCCTGGCCACAGAAATGCAAGCCAAGAACTTCTTGTCAGAATCCAGCAACCTTACCTCCAAAGCAATCTGTCTTCGGTTACCGATGGAGCCAACTTTCAAATTGTTTCCAGCCAACTACGTCTTCCAAGTCCAAAGTCGAGTCACAACAAATCATTATTGGAGCCATGGACCCTTTGATCCTAGCGAAGCACCGCGGAGCGTGGTGACCAGAGGCATCATAAAAGAAGGGAAGATGACCTCGTAATGTCCTTTCATGTGCTTTGCGTTGCACATGCATGTCCATTCTGCATCAGCAGAAGGTTTTATGAAAATCCTAATTGGAAGTGTCATGACCCTCAGTTGCCCGCTGTCCGCCAAGAAGAGAAAATCAAAAACTTGATTTTTGTTCCAGCTTTGGCAGAAGATAGGGACTTAATAGAGTTCTATGCCGATCACCTGAATCTCCCAATATTTTAATGATGCTTGACTTCGTGCTGGACATCTAAGATGAAGCTCATCAGTTGATTTATGAATATTTGTATGACGAAGCTAACTAACAATCATCGTCATAATTATTAATGGCATTCGGCTGAGAAATCACCATGTATTTTAAGTCTCAATGTTCTCCCTGGCTCGAGGTTGCATTTAGCACCACTAAAAAAACCTACCTCTTCTTTCCAGTTGCGCAACCCTCTCCTAGCCTCTCATTTTGATGTCGTCTTCCTGAGCTTCCAGTCCCTATTCTCAGCTCTCCTCGTGGTTGAGTTAAAGCCTCAGCTATTAGATCTGCTTCTTCGCAAAGTCGTTAAAAAATTTCGCCCACACAACTCTTCGCTCTCCTTATATTCTTCCAGGCGACTTTAAGCACCGGGTGAGTCGCCTGGGGACTGGCATGCTCAGGGCACCGGGGTCTACTGACCTAAATTACTCTCACGGAGATCACAAGCCAGGCCAAGTGGCGACACATTCTGACGATGGGAAGTATGATTAGGGCTTGCATCTGTGTGGCTGGGCTGGATTTTGACTCTCAGATTG